TAGTTGCTACAACCTGGAGTTAAAACTCCACCATAAAGTGGAGCCACATTCTACTTCATGTCTTTACATTTTAAAGCTTTTATTTGTTAGATTCTGCAGTATATTAGGACTTTTTTAAATCAATTTTGGAATAAAATTGTTTTCAGCATAAGTGTATATTCATTATTAAGCTGTTGTCGTGATGGCGATTGCTGAAGTGTAAACCCAAATGCAGAAAGGAGGAGGCAGCAGCTGAGTTCTTTGATGATTTAATGAAGAATGGTTGAAATAACGATGGGTACTTACAAAAAACACAAAATCTAAGGTCGTAACAAAATAAATCCAAAAGATCAAAAACATCAAACCAGCAGACACAGGGAGAAAACAGAGGACGAAGCAGACATGAGGATCTGAGGAGTTAGAATGAGAAGCTTAACTACTGAAGAAGGTTGAGAGCTGAAAACCTGAACTGATGAGACTAAAGTGACAGCAGGTGAGAGGAGCAGCAGCCGGGCTGAGGGCGGGGAGCCGGAAATGACACCAGAGACCAAAAGACAGGAGGGGAAACCAGAAGAACCAAACAGAAACAATAAGAACCAAGGAACACAGAACGAGAATAACTAGGACTAAACAAAAAAATAACCTGACCGGAAACAGGAATGGAGAATAAGAATAACTAAACCTAGAGTAATGAAATAACTAAGAAACCAACATAACCAGAAACACGATGATGACTCAAAGAAAACAAAACAAATTTAACCAGAGATGACACAGAGTCCTGAGCGGTGACTTCATCAGACCCGTCATTCTGAAACAAATGATGTGAAATCTGAACATTTTCTTTGTTTACTGGCAAAAACTGCAGCTGGAATAAAAACGTCACTTCATCACGATCCTGAACGACCTTAAGGTTTGAGATTACTGAAGTCTGGAGAAACTATTTGATCGTTTTGTGTGTTTGTTAGAAAGATAACTAATATATGATGCAAGACATTTCTAACTGCTGCACATAACATGCCGACATATCCGATGTCGAAAAGTCAGAACTTTGGAAGGAAAACTGAACATTTTTCATGACAAATTTACAAGATTTCCTCTGAAAACCAAGATGTCTTCTGCATTACAAAGTGAAGTCCGGATACATTTCGGGTTCAACTTCGGGTTCGGACCAGTTTTAATGTTTTATTTAGGCCCGGTCTAAAGTTTAAATTGTTAGTGAGTAAAATTAGTCAGACAGTGCATCAGCACTTCCATCTTATTTACCTATAGAGAAAAAAAGAATTGAATCAATGAGGAACGGAAGGTAGTTAGGATGAGAAGTCCGAACCGAACATCTGCATCGGCCGAACAGGAAACTGACTGGCTGCATGCAGCACGGAGTCAAATTAAACAGAAAACTGTTAAAACCAACTCGGTCTGAAGCATCGTGTCGGACTTTGTGATCCTAAAGTCGAAATGCTTGAAATAAATGAAGCTCATTTCTCCAGACAAGATTTTTTTATTTTGCAAAAAAGACAAACAATAATCGTAAACTCACTTAAAGGAGGTGCAAGTTTTAAGTAATCTGAACAATAAAACCCGATGAGAGACGGAAAGAGCCGTCATGTTAGGCTCCGCCCACTTCCACCTGAGCCTTACAGAAAACACCAGACTGGACTCAGCGCTGGACGGTCATTTATCTCTGCGAAACCGCAACAGCTCGACTAAGAATGGAGCATTTTACCTGACAAACAAAATGTAGAGCATAAATTCCGAAATGTGAAGAAAATGCTACATGTCTTTAGATAAAAATCTATTAATTGTATTTTTTTCAAAGTTAATATTCACTTTTTTTTTTTTTACCATAAATACATACTTGCATTCAGAAGTTCCCTAATTAGTCAACTTCTGCACAGTCCTGGTTGCAGAGCTGCAGATGCATCAGCTTTGATCAAGTTACTTGGAACACGGAAGCTTCCGCAATGGAGGAAAACCCTGTCGCGCATTTTATTATTAATATTCGCTTTCAATTAAAGTTCTGAATAGAGCAAAAAAAAAAAAAAAAAACGGCTGGGCATAAAATGAAAAAATAAAAACCATCAAACCAAATTCCAAAAAGCATTTTAAAAAACCCTAAAACAGAGTTAATAATAAAATATATTTTCATGCAACTTCTGCATTTCAGTGCCGCAGAGGCTCGTATAAAACCAGGCAGCGGAGTTAAAGCTGCTTTTCCATCCGAACAGAAAGCAGAAAGCTCCGTGCAGGAGAGGGAGTGAAGGAAACTATGAACTAAATCAAAAGCGCGGTTTAACTCACCTCGTTTGGTTCGATTAGTTTCTGGTTGGACCCTCGGTTCGCCAGAAAAGGTCCAGAACCAGAACCAGCCAGACCGAGAGAATCAGAGAACAAGGTTGGAAAATTCATCTTAATGTCCGTCAAAGAAAAGTTTCAGATTAAGATCGTTCAAGAATTTTTAAAACACAGCGGCGCTTTGAGAGAGTTCCTGGAATGAACACGGAAGTGTGTGTGGTGTGTGTGTGTGGTGTGTGTGTGTGGTGTGTGTGTGTGTGTGTGTGTGTGACTATGACTCATCCAGACATTCATATCACAAAGTTCCGTCTTTGCAGCTTTGCTTCTTTTCTCCACACATTATTCAAATAATTATTCCAGATAATCTTTAACCCCCGTATGGATTCAGTTTTGCACTAGAATTTATCTGAATTTCTTTTACATGTTTATCGAAAAACCGGAGAAAAAGAAGATCACAAATAATTAACTCATTAAATAGAAAAGTGAAAAGGTCAAACCTGGTTGCAGCTGACAAAAAATAAAGTCTAATTAAATATTTTTGCCAATATTAGCGAACTCTGTTTCTTTACTTATTTGCAGATGCGAGACGGACTAGTTTTCAATTAGAAACCGTGTAAACGGTAAAAAAAAAAAACGGTACAACAAATTAAGAAACAACAAAGATAAAGTTACAACATAAAAATACTGTGGAGTAATTAAATAGCATCCTGACGTGAACATATCAGTCACGGCTGAAGCTTCTTGTGCTTTTCTGTCCCTGATAGAAACTTATAACTTTCTGGTTGCTGAAAAACAGAACTGATTTTTCCTTGCTCCCACGGGAAAAATCAGAATGTGAGGAAAGGTTTCCTCTGCTCTGCTGCTCAATATGAAAAATAGAAACAAATAAAATCTACTGGAATCTGCAGATTTATGTCAGATCCGCTATTCTTCTTCAATATTGTTTATAAATGCGGTTTTGAGAACAAAGCGTCATTGAATGGTGTGTCTGAACATGTCTGGACATGTTTATCAGTGGAAACCAACAGTCGCTGCAGATTTCATTACGATGGATGCAGTTTGCGTTCAGATGCTTCAGTGTGATAAGATCTGTGGTTTTCCCCCGATATAAACAAATGTTTGAGTGGAACTGCTGGCCGTGTCTGCAGGACTGAGCCTCATTCACCTGATGTTAATAAAATGCAGTGAATCAGATTGTGCCACGTTTTTAAACTCGTTTCCTCCTGACTTTACACTTATTCCTCTTCTACAACTTTGAAAACAAAACATACAGATCAGATTATAGATGTTTTCTGTCCTGCTGCCAGTTGTGGTCACAGTGGATAATTGAAGTTAGAGAAATGTGACTGTGCATTAAGTTGTTTACAGTGTATTATACTGTAACAGTCACTCAGAGATCGGCCTGCTTAACGCTACATCTGGCTGCCGATTTCTCTTTTTTTCTTGGTTTTAGTTCTTTACTTCTTTTCCTGTTGTTTTTTGCATGACTCGGCAGTTAAGAAGCTTCTGTGCGTCATCCTGGTCTGCTGCAGCACCACATCAAATGAGAAGAGCTGGCAGCAGCTTTGTATTTACTTCATGACTTGTTTAACATTTGATCATCTTCTGTCTTTTCTCTGCAGGCCTGCTTCATCCTGATGGTGGTGTTCTGACTATCTGTCATACCCGTCAATCCAGCAAACCTTATGGTAATGCACAAGTCAATGTTATATCACATACTGCTATAAATCTGTCATACCTGTGTGTTGTTTCTCAGAGGTTGTTGTTTTCTCCCACTGCTGTTACAGTCTATTTGAACACTAACAGACCCACTTCCTCTGAATCATGAGTTAGCCTCAAATACGAGACGTGGGAGGTTTTAGTGAAGATCTGTCAATGAAGGTGTTATTTTCACATGTGCATTTCATGAAAGATTCCAGCTGTTTTATCATCTATTGTCACAGTTTTTAAACAAATTAATGCATTTTAGAGCAGGTTCATATCTAACATGTTTTAAAAAACCTGGAACATTTGAATGATAAAAGGTTTAATCAGTGGGTTTGGATTGTCAATCAGCAGCTAAAATAGGATTTAAGTAATAAAAGACACAACTGGGAGTAAAATAGTGAAATTAAAGCTAAAGTTGAGGTTTTTAAGTAGTTATTAACTTTAATTTAACAAAAGATTATTGTTGAATTATTGTTATTGCTGTACCAACCGTCTAGACCCCTCAGAACTTCTGGTTCTGCTCTGCATCCCCAGAACCAGAACCAAACGAGGAGAAGCAGCATTCAGTTTCTATGCACCACAGATTTGGAACAAACTTCCAGAAAACTGTAAAACAGCTGAAACACTGAGAGCCTTTAAATCTCAACTTAAAACCCACCAGGTTGGAGCTGCTTATGGCTAAATTAGGGTTTTGATGTCTTCGATGTTTTTAATGTTTTATCTTTAGTTTTTATCTATTAATGTCACATACTGTTTTTATTTCTTTAATTATGTAAAGCACCTTGAAATGCCTCACTGCTGAAATGTGCTAAATGTGCTATACAAATAAAATTTGATTGAATTTGAAAAGAAACAAATAAAAAACTGTGTGAGCTTTTTGTTTCCTTCACAAATGAGTAAAAATAGATGGTTTATCATCATTTTTGGCATCATGATCCAAAGTATTTATAACTTCATTATTCTGCCACAACTTCATCTTTGAGGTGAATAAAAAAAAAAAGTAAAAACCTGCAGCAAAAATGGTTTAGTAAAAATGATTTTTATTGCAGAAGTCAGAATGAAATGCAGCTGAATCAGTTTAACTACAGCACCAGTTTTACACAGAAACAAAAGCAATTCAATATTCACACCTTACAGGATTTATTAATGGCATCAAAGCATCAACAGAAATGATATTAAGTAGCAGCTTTGTGCATCACACGGACCTAATTAACCTCAGAGGCAGAAAATACAGTAAAAGCAATAGAAACACTAAAATCAGTAAAAACGGTGAGCTCATGTTGTTCCAAAGCTAATTTTCTTTTTCTTGATTCAGAGGTTGCATCCTTCCAAGAATCTTCCAAATGTCATTAAATCATAGAAGGAAACTAAGAAACAATAAAGCAAAACTTAGTGATGTTATGTTGATGCAGATTTATGACACGTCTGAACGTTTGTTCAGACTGCAGACAGAAACGTTTCTGGCTCCAGGAAAGGAAGCGGCTCTTCTCCTAACATACCTAAGCAGCAGTCAGAAAACCGTAATTTAATGCCGATAACCCAACAAAGCTGGTTCCTATGAAAGACCTTAAAGACTTTTCTGAAATAACTGGATGGTGTAGATGAACTCTGTATTAAGCTCAAACAAGATGAGGAAGCTGCCAAATGACTTCAGGCAGAAACAGGCCTCAGATCACATGACCTTTGGTTTGTATTTGAGTTGGCGGACTGTATGATGAGTTTGCAGTTGCAGATTTTCTCAGTTTGTATTTGTGGACGGCAAACCAGATGATCAAACCCACGAGAATCACAGCAACTGCAGCACCGGGGAAGAGAAATGCTGTCAAACTGTCGACGCACACGGATTCAGAAAAGCAAAACTCTGAAAAACAAGGAAGAAATGAGAGTTACTGCAGAGAAACAACAAAGTAAACACAGAAATCAGATTTAAGTGAATTAAAGAAGACGGCTCCTGGATTTCTGTTTGCCCTGCTGAACTGTTGATGCTCTTAAAGGTTATTTCTGGGGTTGTTTGGTTCATAGTTCAATAAAGTCCAGCAGGTATTGATAAAAATCTGTTTCTGCTGGTAGAACAAAAAGAGACAGAATTCAACAGTTTGTTGAATATTTTAACTGTTGAGCAAATCTCCTCACAAACATTCAGTATCCCAGATTATGACATGTTATTCCACTATAGGTAACATTATATCATTATTTAGTTAAGAGGTGAAATTTTCCAGCAAAAAACTAAAAGTTGTTCTAATAAGACAAATCCAAACATCTAAGTGGAGATATCTTTGGGTTTATCCAAAAAGAGGCGGGGCTAATGTTGCAATAAGGGCCAGTACTGCCTTTGTAGATCTGTACAACTTTTATTAAAAAATACATATTTTTTTTTACAGATTTGTTGTGATGGCATGTTCTGAGAAAAAAATCCTTTGCCTTCTTCCAGTGCTAAATAGAAACAACCAATCAGAGCCAGGGGGCGGGGCTTAGCACTGTCAGCTAGCAGAGACATGTGAATGCTAAGGCTAGTTAGCATAGCCACCAATGATGACAAAAATGTCTTTTCTGTAACGGCAAGTTGCTTCTTTTGCATTAGCACATTGAGCAACTACTACATGAGCTTGATTGACAGCACTAAGCCCCGCCTCCTGGCTCTGGTTGCTTTTGGTGTTTTTCTTCAGACGGCAGTAGCAGCTCAGGGAGACGAAGGAGGAGATCAATCTGTTCAGAGTATCTGTCTCATAACTGGTGACAGTTTTAACAAATATTTTTTAAATAAAAATTACAAACTGCAGCTTTAATTTAACAAAACATGGTTACAAATTACATGTCATGGTTTGGGTATAAGGTGAAGGGAAACACACGGTGGCGTTCTGGGATGAGGATGGAAAAAGTGCTTATGTCTAAAACCAGTTACACAGATCCAGACACACCAGGATGAGCCAGCAGGAACAGAGGACAGGTGAGACTGAATACACGACACCAGGGGTTAAATTAATCAAAACACATAAAACAAAAACCCAAATCCTCATAATACAGCTTTTCCTTAAGCTACAGAAACACTATAGTTTATCTTGGATAATTTACAACATCCTGGTGGTGATGATAGTAGTTAAAACAAAAGATCTGCACTGATGAGATTTAGAGCAGGAGTCCAGGACGGCAACGATCTGGACGCAGAACAAGAGTCAGGAGTTTCGCTGTTCAAGGCTCAGACAGATTGATGTTCTGCAGTTAATGTGTTTGAACTTCATCAGTAAAACAGAAGATAAAACCCTGAGATCTGTTCATCTCTAGGCTGGTGATGAACGACAGGCAGAAGGTTTGAACACCACTGATTCAGATAAACCTCAGAATCTGATAACATCTGAGGTTTCCAGGGTCACACTGTGGATGTTGCCTTCACTAATTCACCAATTAATTTTCACTTCTGCTTCAAGGACAGAGTAACATGTTAGCTGGAGAAGGGGATTACACAACGTTTCTCTGGTGTCTCGATAAAAAAGCCTCTTATGCAGCAACTATCGTTTTTCTCTGTGTGTTTTTGTCTTGAAATTCTCCTGACAGCCGTGTTACCTCTCTGGTTAGTGCAGGAGCTCTGCTTCCTGTTTCCTTCAAATATCTGCATACAGAGCAGCTTTGACCTTCAATCATTATGATGCCAGTTTTCTTCAGTAACTAGGCAGAAATCGGTTCACTGAACTTCATCTGCACAAAGTTCAAAGTGTGCAGTCATCTGGAGCAGATAAGTTTCCATTACAATAATAATATGAAACTTTCACATCTTCACCACAGTGGAACATTTTTCTCCTGCAGCTTCGCTTCTCTGACTCTGGAGGTTTTGAAAAACAGAAAATTGTTTTGTTTTCTCAAGTTTTTAGTTTATCCTTTTATTCAATTTCTTTATTATTGAATAACTTAACTGTGATTAATAGACGTTTGTGTCTGTGATAAACTTTTTTTAGTTAATCTGTCTTGTTTGAGCATCAAAGCTGAGTGTGAATAATGCATTTTATTTTGGACTTTAATCCAGGGAATGACATCTAAGGAGCAGAGCATGTTTCTGATAATCCACTAGCAGCAGAGCTGATTCTTCATTTAGTGCTTTACTGTCTTTTTTCCAAACAATCAAATCAAGTTTCAACATCAGCTCTGACTGGCTGGAGTTCAGAATCTACTGATGTTCTGCAGGTTTTCTGACCAAAGTCCTGCTGCAGTCAAATTGGCAAAATTAGCAGAGTTAGCAACAAAGTTAGCATCAGAGTTAGCATCAGAGTTAGCATCAGAGCTAGCAATGTTCAACAACTATAAAACTGAAACGGTGAGTTAAACGTTTGCCCAAAGAATCACTTCCTGCAGTTGAAACTGTGCAGGTTTGGGGTCAACATGTCACATTAAACATGGTTTAATTTAGTGCGTTAGCATTAGTTTCTACCTTAGTTTTAACATTAGCTTTGCTTTAGCATTAGCAGAACTAATGTTTATGATTAGTGCTTTAGGATTAATGTAATTAATGTTTTAGTGGTGCTGACATTTAGACCAGACTTTTTACGCTTAAAATGAAAAGACATGAAGGTCAACACAGAGCAATTAGTTTGGGTAAAACAGAGAGTGGACATTATGCATTGAGAACAATTAAACAAACTCCACCAATCAGAATGTGTCAGAAGGTGGAAAGACCCTACAAATGAAATATTGTGCAGACGGTTTGACAAACTAAATATTTGAGATCTGGACTCGGTTTGACTGAAGAAAATTTTCTGAAATGATGTGCTCATCAGTTACCTTCAGCAAACATCATCTGAGCAGAAACTAATGACTGAATATCAACAACCACGTCTTGGTATGACTGAATCAAACTCAGACTGCTTACTGGTTGGTGGAGGAACATCATCAAGCTCCAAGAGGCTGCAGTTCACTGCAACACAACAGGAAATATGCTGATGAGCTGAAGAAAAGCCGACATGCTCACAGAAACACGTCTCTGTGGAAGTGATCTCACCTCTGCAGTCAACAGTCCAATCAAACTGAAGGAAGGAAACAATGAAATTTAAATCCAAACCATCATTTAAATCTGACAGATTGATGCTAAAACTGCTTAACATTTTATTTAACATTTCTTTCTCTTCCTACTTTATTCTCTGTTGGTGAAGTTTGTTTCACTTTCAAACACTTGGTGACGTGCATCAGGTGAGGATGGCAGATCTTCAGGTCGATGTGGTCGACGGTCACGTTCTCTACCAGGCTCTCATTGACTGAAGAACCCTGGGCGATCACAACCTTAAGGAAGATTGAGTTTATCACATAATCACTTCATGTTCTGCAGCAGAGTGCGTCTCGTCTCGTTGTCTTCTCTCTTTTTTCACTTACATCTCGGTCTGCCCACTGTGTGTCGCAGTCATCTGAGGCGGTCCACTGGGACAGCTGGTACCTAAAGAAACGGGTTGGAAGTCGACTGACGCTGCAGTTCAGAGGTGAAAGGTCAGCAGCTGCAGGAAGCAACAGCTGCACCAAACCTGAAATAAATTAAATTAAAATTGCCTCAGAAAGTCAGAAATGCTTAGATATCAAAGAGAGAATCAACATGCCAGCACACCATCAGCCAAGTGGTTATAACGATATGCCTGATATTAATTTTAGGCAATGTAGCAGTTATAGTTTAATCTGCGAAGTGAAAGATGCATATGCAATCATGGCACAGCTGAGAAAACATCAGTAAGGCAGAAACAATCAGCTGTTTATGTTGCATACAGGTAGAGCTTCCTAGCTAGCAAGGTAGCATAGCATCCTGCTAGCCAACATTCTGTCTCCATTTTAAACTGGATTAAACAGGAAACAGGTCATGTTCAGATGTTGTTCTGGTTCTTCCTCCTGGAGGAGTCGATGGATTCTCTGGGTCATTTTGGGAGGAGACGGTTCATCAGGCCCGGATCGGCTAATCAGGAGAACCGGGACATTTCCCCATGGGCCGGCCTATGGCAGGCAGTTTAACATAAAATCAGTTTCCTCTATTTGTAATTACATCTAAAAATGAGCTTGGTCTAGACCAGGGGTGTCCAAAGTGGGTCCTGGAGGCCCGGCATCCTGCACGTTTTAGTTCTCTCCCTGGTGGTGTTCCTCTTAGGCCTTCTAACGAGCATCATTTGATCCAGGTGCGTTAAACCAGGGAGAGAATAAAACATGCAGGATGCCGGGCCTCAGGGACCCACTTTGGACACCCCTGGTCTAGACAACCGTGAAAATTTGACATGAAATCATGTGGAATCAGTCGACATTATGAAGTAATTCTTGCCTGCAATGAATCGGAAATATTTTAGAAAAATACTCTTAATTTCAAGGCTACACAGAACAGCGCACTCTATTGTTGACTTAACATGTACATTGGTAAGTATGCTTACTCCAAATGCAAGATTATAATGACATGAGTCAATACTACTAATAATATCTTATCTAAAGTGGGCTGGTCTGATGCGTGAAAATCCAGGGCAGTTTTGTGTTTTCTCCACCGTTTCCTGGAGACCCAAAGCTGTAGAATCGGCTTTGCAACCCGTTCCAGATGGATGGATGTCAGTAACTTTGTTTATAATCTGTTCTGGGATTTGTTTGGACATGGTGCATTACTTTTCAAACTCTTTTTCCTACTTTACGCTGTCAGAAAGATTCTGTTTAAGAAATCCTGCTTTTATTTCAGAATTATTGAGGCTTTTGGTTTAGTGGCCGGTTTTAAATCTGTTTGCTGAACTGAAACTACACCAGATTCTCAGCTTCCAATATGAACACTCAAGTAAAAACCACATGACAACAAAATAGTAAAGATGAGACATCTGACTCAGACTAGAAAATCTGCTTATTCTATGCGACGCAGGGGAAAAACCCAGGTTGTGATTGAGGATGTGGCCCTAAAGCCAACTGGTAGTCCACTCAAATAATATCAAGTGGCCCAGAGTCTCCCAATTAACACCAGGTAGGTCTGGCTTAAAATGATGAAACAGAAATGGTATACAAAACCTATTTATACATTCTTTTACAATATTAATAGACTTTATTATTCTGATTTAAAACCCAATAAAGCACAGGAACCCAGGACAAGAGAAGCAATGAGACCTAAGCAAAAACTGCAAACCAAATTAGTAGAAACACAAATTGACAAAATAATGTTAAAAGCAAATCCCACATTGTCTCAACCCAGTTATAAAGCTGTGCCCAATCAGCTAATTCATAAAAATAAAGAGATATAAACTGTCATTCTGGTTCCGTAGAGCTTGTGCAACTCCAGCTGTAGAAGACGACCTATGAGCTGAGAGCATCTAAACTACAAAACAAATGCACTCGGTGAGAAGCAACAGCAGCAATCTTAATCAGCCACACAACGGGTACATCCAGACGCTGCAGTGAGAAGCCACTGAAATGCATCCAAGCAATCAGAAATCACGTCAAGTAGCAACAATATAAAAGCGACCTGACGTTACACAGAACCAGCCACAAGTGGCATCAAAGATCCATTTATTCTACCAGCAGCACAAATAGCCACGATCCGGAACTTGGTGCAGCAGCCCGATGAGCCCGGATCCAACTGCGCACAACGGACCTGAGACCCGGTGGGAATTTACATTCACGTTTGTAAACAATGTTTAAGTAAAATCTCCCGGTTACATCCATGAGACTGTTACAACACGTGAAAGAATCTACAGTCAAGTCAATAACAGCTGTGAATACATTTAACACCTGAGTTTAAGCTGAAATCTCTTCTCACTGTTGTGAAAAGCCCCAGTGGTTCTGACAGTGAACACCGAGCCCCGTTTGCATCACCACAGTTTCAGTTGGACAGTTTTTCCTCCTCCGGTGAGTTTTTGGCTTTTGCAGATCTGGTCTTATAAACTCCTCACCACTTTGTGGTTACCTGGTCGTTGCTGCTGCTGCTTTCTGATTCTTCCTCTGACCAGAGCAACTAAACTACAACCAGTCAAACATTGAAGCCCCCAGCGGTTTAACTGTCGCTACAGGAGGGACCGAGACGTTTCTAAATAATCTGAAATGCTACAGATAAATATAATTCAGACAGTTTGTTGTCACCTCTTTGGGTTTGGGAGAAATGCATTCCTGAATGTTCTCGATGCGGAGCGACGACTTCTCTAATCTGCAGTAAAATTATGCAATATTGATTCTTGACATAGTATATGTATGTAAAAGTAATAGATACGTCATAAATACAAACTTAAGATTGTTGTGCATCTCATTTTCTGCTCGGATATTTCTCTTTCTTTCCTGCTCCGTAACGCACCAAGTAGAGACGTCTCTACCTGACCGTAAAGATTTCTCTGTTTAATAAGGAAACGACCCACCGGGAAAATATACAAGTCCAGAAAAGCATCAACTGATTCGGACCAAATAAAAGAACAACAGACTTCAGAAACGCCCAAAACGAGTCACGTTTTCTGCGTCACTTGAGAAAACGTTTAAAAACCTGATCAGACATGGGCTTCTGATCCGGACGTCTTTAATTATCCAGGATCTTTGGATCTGGAGTTAAACTCACCTGTCAACGCAAGCAGCCGGCAGATCCCAGAGAGGTCCATGCCGAGCAGAAACCCCCGAACCTGTGTGATACCTGCCGGTTTCTGGTTGTGGTTCTCTGTCCGCCTCCTCCCCGCCTGCATGAAGAGCTGCAGCTCAGAGTCTCTTTTCTGTCTCGTCCCGCCCCTTGCGGCTGCTCTGTCTTTAACAAGTCACCCGATGCCGACTATTTTCATTATGAGTTTGTTTGAGCTTTAAATATGTTTACCAACTTGATTTTTATCAGCTTTTTATTATGCATTAAAATAGCATTATTATAAATATTCAAACAGTATCATATACAGTATGTGTGAAACATGCCTGGTATCATCATGTGTCGCTACATTGCAGCAATATTGTAGTTGTTGATTTTAACCTTACAGAATTGGCAACTTAAAAAAGATTTGGATTTTGAAACGCAGAATGGTATTTAAGTGTAATATTAGTGTATTATTTTAACTACCCCCCCCGCCAGCCTGGTCGGCATCTATCCCACCTAAACTTGTGTATGACGTCAA